AACTAATTGCATTAAATTTTATTATAATGATAATTGTATAAATGTGTTGTTAGAATTAACTGTAATTCAGTGTCAATTGATCACTGACATGTGAAATTTTGTAAACAGCTGAGAAGTCTAGAGCGATTGCAGCGCCGCTGAAAAGTCGGTGGATAGTACCGTTACGTAGATTCTTTTTTACCGGAGACTCCACGAAATTTTATAGTAGTTTCAGTAAAATCTTTTGATTTTTTTTTTATTTTTTGTGGACTTGTCCGCAAATTTTTACCTGGAGAGTCAAATAGAGTTTCTGGAGTAAAAATCAAAGTCTCCAGGTGTCTTATTTAAAAATAAGACCAATTTAAAAGAAGTTTGGATGCCACATATGATCGGGGTAAGCTAACTCCATAAAAACTACTTTTTGTGGACTTGTCCGCAAATTCTTACCCGGAGAATTTTTATCAAGCTTCTGTTGGAAAAATTCGAGCTTTTAGGTATCATTTTTAAAATTCAGACCAATTTAAAACTCCTAAAAAGCTACTTTTTGCGGACTTGTCCGCAAATTTTTAACCAGATAATTTTTATCGAGCTTCTGTTGGAAAAATTAGAGCTATTAGGTGTCTCCTTTGAAATTGAGAGCAATTTAAAAAAAGTTTGGGCACTACATATGCGTTGGAGAGAGCTAACTTAAAAATAGCTACTTTTTGGGGACTTGTCCTCAAATTTTTACCCGAAAAGTTGAACTAAGCTTTTGATATAAATATTAAAGTCTCCAGGTGTCTCTTTTAGAATTAAGACCAATTTAGAACTCTTAAAAAGTTATTTTAAATCTATATAAATAGTCACTTTACAATCTATATATATAGAATAATAGTTTCAGTAAAATCTTTTGATTAAATCAGTGAAAATAACTCTTAATATAATTTTTTACGTTTATTATTTTTAACCGGTAAAAATTAATGGTACTTTTCTGGATTTTTCACATTGTATTTATGAATAATTATTAAAAGAATTGTCATTAGATCAGGAATTTACGAATGTCCCACGATTACTGTGATTTTAACGATAAGTTTTAAAGAAAATTTCTTTCTTAGAACTAGATTTTTCTAGTCCAATAAAAATTCCTAAAAATTTTTTTCTGACATTAATTTATAACTAATTTGGAAACTTGTTAGCTCAGAAGACCAAAATTCATCCTTTTTATCACCGATCAAGCATACAAGTCCGTGCAGTTTAGAAAGTAGAGCCTGAAGTCCTCGGCGATCTTTAGCAAATAAAGAGGATAGATATTTATGATATTATTACTGGAGTTAATAGCCAGGATTGATGGACACGGGAGCAGAAAGCTAGAAAAGCAGTAGCTGGTGTAAGCACAAAGCCTTAAACAAAATATCTCCGGTATAAATAATTACTGTAGCTCGAAGCAATTACGATAAGTTATGGTTTGCCCGGTACAATTTGCAATGTCAAGACATAAACACTGCTACCGCTTACATTTGAATACATTAAGCCTCCATAGCAGTCCCTGATTGGTTAACTTAAAACCGAGTGTACGCCCGTATTGGTACGTGACGTACGATCTGGTTGACGATTTTTATTCGACATTTTTTCCTTGATTTTAAATTTCAAATCATTCGATGAAAATAATTATCCCAAATTGGAGGAAAGTTTTATGGTTCTTTTAAATTGAATTTTTGAACGAAATATTGGGTTTAGAGAAAAATATTTAGAACAAAAGTTGTATCTCTGGAATTCCATCAATTATATGGGTGATTCTCTGTAAGGACGTCTTAAATCTATATATACGGTCTCTTATTCAAGAATTTTACCATTTTTTAGCTGGTACAATAATTGGGACACCATTGACAGGAATTGGGACACGTGCTTAAAATTGATTATTTTCAGTTGGAATTAATTTTGTATCAAGTTATCTATACATGAGTGATTCTCTGTAAGGACGTCTTAAATCTGTACAAAATTGTCCGACCAAATTATTTTTGATTTTATTAGAAAAATAATTAACAAGGGTATGTCTGTTTTTTTTTTTTTTTTATCAAATTGAGAAAAATCAAGCAAACTATTTCAATGCATTCAACTTTTCAAGTTCTCAATCAATGTTTACATTAATTAGAATAATATTAAGACTTACGGATGGAATTTTATAAATAAATTATAAATAAAAATAGTTGTCAGGGGACTGACATTTTGAAATGGCCCAGACACATATTTCCAGCACAAACGGTGCTTTGACACTAAATAAAATCCCGATAAAGCGCTAACAGCCCTATGGTTATTAACTCAAGGCTAGTTAGGTCCTTATAAACCTTACAAAAGGTAAAATAACACGCTGGATTTTTTTTTTGGCTTTGAACTTCTGGCAGGGGACTGTTCTTAAAATGCCTGGGACAAACTTTGGTTTAATGAATTTAATTAAACAAATTAATTTTCGGTACTTTTTATTGAAGAAGATTGTTAGTTAACTAATTGAGTTTATAAACATTATGGACGAAATTATATATTATGGACGAATAACTTAAAATTTAATCTTAAAGTTTTAATTTTGGGAATGGGACAGCCCAGGGGACTGTTATTTCGGTGGTTTACCAATTTATAGCAAAAAAAAACCAAAATTTATTTCATTTTAATTTTCAATGCTCCAAATAGAAATTTTCTTTTAATTTCGTAATTAATTATTTTTTACTAACAAAATAACAATTTTTCTAATAAAAAAATGCTTGGGACAGCAAAAAACATCCTTATAGAGAATCACCTAAATATAAATATTTTTTTTTTTTTTTATTAAAATAATAAAATTACAAGGCGTTGGTTTAAGCCAATGTAGCCAACGTTTACATATTAGAGGTTTACAATGTACTTTAAAATATAAATATTATTGTACAGCGGACAACTAGCGTCGCCTAGCGTTGACACGCAGAAGCTTATTACTAAATTTATTACCACGATTGATATCAAACCTGTAATAGTACACTTTCCGAGCTGAAACTTATTTATCGATCTTACCTTACTCTTCAGTAAGTAAAAAGAATCCCAGTTAGTAAAAATTACAGCAAATTTAATAGAAATAATATAAAAAAAAATGTAATCAGGTTGCAACCATGGTTAATAAATTGGCTGAAAAATTTTATCAAACTCAGGTAGATATATATATATATATATATAGATACTACAAACTCTTAACTATATTATTTTCTGAGGCGTAACAGGTGGTTGAAATTCTTGTTCTCTGAATCTTTTTATTCCTTTATTATCGGGAAAAAGAAAAAGCGAAACGGGACCGCAAAGTCGGGTATGCTTAACACCTCTTAAAAGAGAACTACATAAAAGACTGCTCCGTATCATAGACAAAAAAGCTTAAATAAAACAAAAAGAAAAAGGAGCGTGGAAACTGGCGAAAACAAAGAAAAGAAGGAGGAGGCAAAGAAAAGAAAATTAAAAGGATTAAAACGTTTGATACGGCTTTTCAAATAACTTAATATATTTTTTTGTTTTTTATAAATGCTTTTTTTATTATAAATCGTACATTTTATCACAACACATTTGGCTAATACTAAAATTGGCTTGCAAACTGACCGTCAAACAACAATAGTGTGGAAGTCTTGAAATATTTATCTTTTATATTATCATTACAATTATTTACAATATTGTACATCTGTTTAAAGCTTAGTTGCTTTTTTTCAATTCCTCATCTGGAATTTTAAGAGCACTTACAATTTTTTTTCATAAATCTAAACCTTAAATTTAAACTCCGCTTTTTTTTTTTTTAATTGTTTGACAATTTTTAAATATTTATTTACTTTTTTTAAGTTGTAAATATTTATTAAAATAAATCAGGGTTGCAATTTAATTTTTAAACTTTACATTTTTTATTTAAAATAAAATTCATAATTTTGTAGATTATTTTTTTATTAAGTATTACTTCGTTAAAAAATGCATTTATTCATTTTTTAAAAAATTTAATCACTAAATTTTTTTAATGAACATTTTTTGATTAAATTTAAAAAAAAATCATTCCAAAAGTTTTTATTTTTAATATTAATAAATAATTAATTATATTAATAAAAAACCCTTTAAAAAAATTTATTTTTTGCAACCCTGGCCAAAAAAATTCAAATTTGTTACCAAAATTAAATCCCAAATAAAAACAAATTACAATAATCACAACCCCTGTCTAAACTCGGCACCTACTGCCCACTCTAATCTAGTAATTTTTAAAAAAAGATAGCCAAAAGTTTGTGCAAGATTACTAGGGCCCTAATATGGTCGAAATTAGATTGAGCAGCGTGGGCAGAATGGACAGCAGGATACTTTTTAGTGGGCAGAAATGGGCAGAATGAGAATTTTCACCACTGACGTTCTTATTAAAGATTTTCAGGGCCTTTACATATCACCATTAGTCTGGGCAGCAGGAAATTAATCTGGGCAGCAGAAAAATATGCATAAATGGGCAGCAGAAATTTTTGATACCGTCATTCTTGATTAGAGATCAACAGGGCTTCTACATATCGCCATTATAAACACTGACGCTCTTATTAGATATCAGGACCATTATCTTGGGCAGCGTGGGCAGAATGGGCAGCAGAAAAATTTTTACAACTGACGTTCTTATTAAAGATCAACACTGACGTTCTTTTTAAATATTGGCGCTCTTATTAGAGATCCTTAGTCTGGGCAGAATGGACAGCATGGGCAGCAGGAGAATTTTTAACACTGAAGTTCTTATTAAAGATCAACACTGACGCTTACTAATATATACCCAGGACCTTTTAACATTGTCCTTCTTATCAGAGATCGCTAGGGCCTCCACATAACGTCCTTAATATGGGCAACATGAGCAGAATGGGCAGCAGGAGATTTTTAACACTGATGCTCTTGTTAGATATCATTTTCATTAATCTGGGCAGCAGGAGAATTTCCAGTATTTACGCTCTAATTAGAGATCCTTAGCCTGGGCAGAATGGGCAGCAGGAGAAATTTTTCATCCCTTACACTTTACTTTAAGATCACCAGGGCCTCCACATATCGCCATTACCCTGGGCAGCGTGGGCAGAATGGGCAGCAGGAGAATTTCTAGCACTGACACTCTTATTAGCCTTGATAGGAGCCGCAAGATCTTCAACAGAGTGTGCATACTCCCTGATAGGATGTAAAGAAGAGGAAGCTTCAGCATATTTAGGCCTTTTCTCAGCAATGACAAGCAGCCCGTCGGAGTTGTGCCTCTTGAGATCCTTCCGCTGGCCATTCGAGGTCCTGTTATTGTAGGCCTTATCAGTAATTACAGACAAAGGCTGTCTGACCCTGGAGTCTTCTTCCAGGAGCTTGGGATTGACGAAGGCGGAGGGCTTGTCGCTGGAAGAAGAAATTTGGGCCTTTTGTGTCTCTGGAGAAGAAAAGCTTTTGGAGCTCTGGTCAGGGACTTTGAACCTGCCTGGAGACTCTGTGTGCCTGGCCTCGGGGGTCTGGTCTTCGCCGAAGCTGGAGGTGGACGTCGAGGGACTGAGCAGCGGGCTGTGGGATCGCTGGACTGGAGTAAAAGCGGAGCTGTTCCTGATCCTAGGCTGTTCCTGATTAGCGGGAGGAAAGAAGGGAAAGTTTGCTGAAATTCCAGCGGATTGGGGCACCAAAAGGGCCAGCTCGCCAGTGGGCAGCCTGCTGGGAATCAGCTGGACCCCGCTGGGAATCTGGATCCGCGCACTGGCGTTGTTGTTCTCGTCTCCGCTGTGGAAGTCACCCTGGAACCCGACTTTCACGTCCGGGAACAGCCGCTCAGGCATGTAGGGCACATAGTGACCGTAAAACGGCGCCATCTGTTGGAGATTGTTCACGCAGTTGTTCAGGTGCGAGACTAATCGCTGCTTCACCGACGAGTCCACGTTCTCCAGGTGGTTTACGTAACGCGTTACTTCTCCAGCGCACTCGGAAAATCCGGTGCGGAATTTGGTCAGCACTGCCGGGTCTGTGGCCACTGCGGCGCTTAGTTGCTGCCGCTGGACGGATTGCAAGTGCTTCACTGTCATCTCCAAGATGTCCGCTTTTTCCAGCTTAGAGTGACGCGATGGCTGGAAATTTAAGAATTTGTTAGATTGGTTTTGAAAAAATAAAAAAAAATTGTTTTTGATGTTCAAATGAGATTTTTAGGTAAAATTTTGGGTTTAGAAACAAATTTTTGATACAAAAGTTGTAGGAAATTTAATTTCCTACAAAAAACGTTATTATTTTATTGGGTTATCTCTGATATTTTTGGAGTTATCGTCAAAATAATAAATGAATATCAAAAATCTAGATTTTTTTTCCAAAAAAATTGTTTTTGATGTTTAAATGAGATTTTTAGGTGAAATATTGATTTTAGAAAAAAATTTTTCAAACAAAAGTTGTAGGAAATTTAATTTCCGACAAAAAACGTTTTTATATGATTGAGTTATCTCTGATATTTTCGAAGTTATCGTCAAAATAATAAAAAAATATCATATAAAAAATCTTGGTATTTTTCCAAAAAAATCATTTTTGATGTTTAAATGAGATTTTTAGAAGAAATATTGATTTTAGAAACAAATTTTTGGAACAAAAGTTGTAGGAAATTTAATTTCCTACAAAAAACGTTCATGTTTAATAGAGTTATCTCTGATATTTTCAAGGTTATCGTCAAAGTAATAAATGAATATCAAAAGTCTAGATTTTTTTTTCCAAAAAATTGTTTTTGATGTTTATATTGATATTTATGAACAAAATAATAAGTTTAAAGAAAAACTTTTGAGTAAAATTTGTAAAGAATTAAATTACCAACAAAAAATGTATATGTTTAATAGAGTTATCTCTAATATTTTGAAAGTTATAAAAATTAATTTAAGCAAAAATTTACTCGTCCGCGAGTACATAGCAATAAAATTACCCTCTTTGGAATGAAAGAGGAAATATTACGTGAGCACACGCAACATCTTTTATTAAAGATGCGGCGATCCATACAGGTAAAGATGAATGAAGTCCCATGTGATGAATCCATCGTGGGAACCCGTTAGTTTTGGAGGACCCATCGCGTTTTCTTTATTTGTGTTTTTTTTTTTATTTTGGGATTTCTCGGCTCGAAACTGGTCCAGCGGAGAAGAAGAGGGCCGAGGGGCAAAGAGGTACTACAGGTTATTCTTTAAATTCCCAAAACCCAGCCCTTTGGCCACCAATAGGCGATCCAGTGGCGTGTGAGTGTGTAAATCCAGAGCGATTCAAATGGACGAAGGAAGATATTCCTCGTTTTTCTCCATCGCCCGGCAGAGGCCACCTTGACAATACAATAAGCGTGGGAGTGCTATACCATAACCAGGGCTCGGTTACACATGTGATGTCGTTTAAAGAGTTACTGTGTGTGGGAACCAAAGAGCTGCCACTGTAATCTCCGAGGAAATAGAATACACTTCATTCATACATCCATCCCCTCTTTTTTTCTTGCAATTTTAAATTTGCGTCATCGGCAATCAATTTCCCACGAAAATTCTACCAAATAAATATATCTCTAGATACATAATTAAGAAATGACCTTGTATCTTGTGAAATATTGACATTTTTAAAGATATAATTGAGAAGGCCTCAGAAGGTCGTTGTGTTTATCGATCAGGGTTAAGCGGATATTAAAAGTTTCCAAAAAATAAAAAATTTTCACTTATGGTCATATCAAATTTTATTTTATCTAAAAAAATTCATCTCAATTGACATTCTTAAATTTTTAATATATTTTATATATTTATATATATTATATATATGTATGTATATATATAAAATATATGAAAAATGTCATGTGGGTATTCAAATGAAAGGCCTCGATGAGTGTAACATCAGGATGAGCTTACATTTTTAAAAATATTAATAATTAAGAAATGACCTTGTATCGTGGCAACTATCGACATTTTTAAAGATATAAGCTCATCTTGATGTTACATTCGTCGAGACCTTTCATTTGAGTACCTATATGCATTTTTGATATATTTTTCATATATACATAATATATATATATATATATATATAAATATACAAATATATGAAAATTGATGTGGGTACTCAAATGAAAGCTCTTGATGAGTGTAACATCAAGATGAGCTTATATCTTTAAAATCTATATATTATATATATGTATATATGAAAAATATATCAAAATCAGTGTTCAGTCTAATGTAATCTCAAAATATTGAAAAATAAATTTTTCAATGATCCAAATAAAGGACTTGTTCGCGTGAAAATACATTTTATGTAGTATAGAATGATGTGAGCTTTCTTAAGGTGAAACCCGAGACGCTTTTGGGCAGCAAAATAGACAGTTTATGTACTTTTTAAATAATTACGAGGTTCCCACGGAGGCGGAGGGGCGTTACGGCTGCTCTGAATTAAATGGACGGCTATTACTATATTATATTTTATATTGTACTATGTTATAGTATACTTTGGAGTTGTATTTGTGTTTGGATATGATACTGATGAGAAACAAAATAAAGAGCAGGTAGCGGAAGTCATCTGGGCATGGTCTTCTCTTTAGAGAGGTTTGTGTTTTTAATTATGGAATTGGCCAGAAGGTATTATGGACTCAAAATTTTCTAGGATTATTTTTAAGACTTTTTATAAAAATTAATATTGGAATTGTTTTTATGATAACTTTTAAACTATAAGAGATAACTTAATTAAACACAAACGTTTGTTTTAGAAAATTAAATTCTCTACAAATTTATGTAAAATTTTTTTTTTCTAAACCCAACCTTTTGCATAAAATTTAATTTAAAAAAAAAAAACCACAAATTAAAAATTTTTTTATAAAAAAAAATTTTTTTTATGAAAAAAAATTATTAATTAAATAAAAAAAGACACTTACGTCTTTTTTCATCGCCTCCAAAATTAGGCTCTTTAATTCATCCAAGCATTGATTAATTCTAGCTCTTCTTCTTTTCTCCATAATTGGTTTATTACTCTGCAATATTTATATTTAATTAACAACTTAGTTAAAAATGAACATTTTTTATTGTTAAAAATTAAAATAAAAATTACCCGGCGTAATTCAGCTTTGGACATTCCGGACTGTGGTTGATTATCAAATTCTTCATCACTGCCTGACATTTTGTATTTGCAGTAATCCACCATTTATTCACTGGTTAATTAGCACAAATTTTTGCACGACACTCACAAATATTGTTTACAATTTTTATTTGTAATTATTATAATAAGTTGACAAGCATTTAGTCTAGAGACTCTAGAATATTTGGAGGATCAATGTTGAGAGTCGGCGAGTAACTGTTTGACGTTTTCGGACTCAAAGACCGCATGCCGATGGATTAAGAGAGGGGGCAGAGACCGATTTTCTCGGGGAGGGGCACCCCAAGTTAAGGGGGGAGCTGTTAAGCCCTCATGAGACCTGTTGATTGTTGATGTGTGGGAATTCACGCGCGACACATGGGACATTCTTTGACATACGTGTTATTTAGTGGGAACTTATTTACTCACTATTATTATTATATTTCGCTAAATAATTATTAATAAATGAAAAAACTAATTTATTTATTAAAATTTTAAATCCCAAAATTCAAATTGAAAATTTTGGGTCAAATATTGAAAATACACTGATAAAAAATTATTCTTGGTTTAAGTTAATTTTTCTTGTCTCAAGAACTTATTCTCTTGACTAAAGAAAATCATTTTCTTCAAAATAGTATTCTTGATTCAAGATTTTGCACTGAAAAAAAAGTTTTTTTTTCCACCTAGAAAATTTTTCCCTCCTGTAAAGAAACTGGTGAAGAATACCAAAGTTTTTTTCCTACACTAATAAGTATTGTGATTTTTAAAAAAACTCGGTTTCCTCCTCAGCAAAATACCAAAATAAAAATATGCCCGACTTAACCTCATTTGACACAAATGCATATGATATGTTTATCATACGGTGGATCTTTTTTATTATAATTAAAAAATTAATAATTATTAATTTATCAATAATAATTAAATTAAATAAAATTAAATAAATTAAATTATAATAATTAAATTTAAAAATGACACTGAAGTTGACAGACATTAAAAATTTTTTCAGAATTTTATGGCAATTAAATTATTAAAAAAAATAAATTTAATTAAAAAATTCCACATGTGAAAATTAATAAAAATTACACGTGAAAATTTTTTAGTAGCATTCTTTTATAATAATTGATTTATTATAAAAATTTTTAAAATTGACAGCTCTTCAGCATGATATTTAAGAAAATTAAATTAATTATAATTCAATTAAAAAAAATTAAATTATTGAAAAATTGAAAATTATTATTAATTTCAAGGGCGAGATTTATATTTTTATTTTATTTAATCGAATTTGTACAATTAATAACTCTTAAAAAGACAATTACCTTCAAAGATTTTTTTTAGAGATGGTAAATCCCATTTGAGCAACTTTTTTCCTACCCAACAATCCATCCAAATTTTAATATCAATTGTAATACAGCTTGGTAATTGTTCAATAAATAATAAATTAGTATATAAAACTTTCCAATGATGTAAACAAACACGCCAGGACTGTGAAATTGGAGGGAAATCAGAGAATTGGCGGCGCCACCGCTGCGGTTGCTATGGTAACGCAGCGTAAAGTTTTGGCTCCAGAAAAAACTTAGGTATTCTCAGGCGAAAAATACCAATTTTTTATATTAAGAAAATGAATATTGGATATAAAAAAACTTGGATAAAAATACTTTGTATTCTGGGTACACGGAAAGAACAAGATGACACTGGATACCATCTCAGATTATACCCAGTGACATTTGAGGCGAAAAAAAAATTTCAGATGGTAGCTAGTATAATCCAGATTATACTGAATAATATCTGGATTATACTCATTATAATCTGGATTATACTCATTGTTATCTGGATTATACTAGCTACTATCTGAATTTTTTTTTTTCACTCGGTATAATCTGGGATTATATCCAGTGTCATCTTGTTTTTTTCCGTGTAGAAAAAAACTTTTTTTTCAGTGTGGATTTATTTTTTAGAGGTAAATTTTGTACTTCAGAGCAAAATTAAAATTTTTTTTATAACCCCTTTTGGCATAAAACCCTATCTGGCTGCAGTAATACGTAAAAAATTTACATTTGGGTCGGGATTTTAATTTTAAATTAGAAAGTTAAGTTATAGAACTTTTTTGGAGGTTTCAAAAGTTAAGAGTGCTTTTTTGGCTAAAATATTAAAAGTAAAAAAATTATTCTTCAACCCTTGACCAAAAATTTTTAAAATAAGACTTAAATTTCACCGTGTTGACAATTATCAAACTTAATTTAATTTTTTTTTTTTTTTGATATTATAATTAATACTTTTTTTATTAAATAAAATTAAACCTAAATCAAGATAAATTTATTTTATCAATTAAAAAAATCATTAAATAAAATTTGTTTTCTTAAAATAACAATTTATATTTTGATAAAAAAAAAATATTTTTTTTCCTTTAAAATACCAGTTTGCTTTCAGGGACAAATAGTCACTTTAGAGTACCTTATTATGAGTCCATTGTCGAGTATATACAGCCCCAAATAAAACCATAAACTCATCATTTTTACGGCAAAATATCCTTTAGTTAAAATAAATTTTCAAGGCAAAAAAATAATCAAATAAAATCAAAACTTATTTAATACTTGAAAACACGTGCTCGGCTTATGCATCTGCTCGACTTTCGTAAGCGATAATTGATAATTGATAAGTTTAATTGTTAAGCTACTTAATTAATCAGATAAAAATTTTTATTCTTTACAAAAGAGGCGATATTCTTTGTCGTGGATTTTTTATTACTCAGCATTTAATGAATAGAAAGCATTTAAATACACACTTAAATGAGATCATAATCTTCAAAGCCAAAAATTTTATTTTTTTTTTCTAACAAAAAAAAATAGATCATACCGTGATGTTGTAAATCATAAGAGAGCTTTGAAAAAATGTTAGGCGTAAATAAAGGAGACAATAGCTAAAAATTCTTGGTGCTATAAAAATTTATCTGTTTATTGCGGTGGCCTGGACACTCTCGGTGGAAAATAAGTAATAGGTAGTTACTGATTTTGTCAACAACTATTTTACCGCCTATGCCAACATGTTAAGCACTCTTGTGACCTTTAGTCTCGTTAAGATCCCAGACTTTGGACTTGGTCTATTATTGTAGACTATATAGATTAAACTTAGGCTCTATTGAAGCTCCGAAATATTAAATAGCTTGTTTTATTATTTAATTAAATATATTATTTCTTAAATAGAATTTTTTAATTTATTTTAAAATTATTGATCAAGAGATAAAGATAAGGTAAAATTTATAATAAATTTTTTTTATAGAATTTAATTTAAAAAAAAAAAATTTTTTTCTTTCTCTTTTTAGCTTTTAAAATGAAAAATTAATGACAGAAGACTGTCTCAAGAGCGTTAAAAAATTATTTTTAATTTAGAACTAAATATCTTAGAATTAACTTTCCACTAGTGAGAAGATTTGGTGACCATGCGCCACCTGTTGGATTTTTTTGGAACTAAAAATTTTTTAGTAGTTATATACACAGAAAAAAGGTTCACTTGAGCCAAGAAAATTATTTTTAATTTAAAACTAAATATCTTAGAATTAACTTTCCACTAGTGAGAAGATTTAGCGACCATGCGCCACCTATTGGATTTTTTTGGAACTAAAAATTTTTTAGTAGTTATATACACAGAAAAAAGGTTCACTTGAGCCAAGAAAATTATTTTTAATTTAAAACTAAATATCTTAGAATTAACTTTCCACTAGTGAGAAGATTTAGCGACCATGCGCCACCTATTGGATTTTTTTGGAACTAAAAATTTTTTAGTAGTTATATACACAGAAAAAAAGGTTTACTTGAGCCAAAAAAATATTTTTCTTCTTTATTATTTTCTTGAGTAAAAAAAATTTTTTTTTTATTTATTAATATTTATTTAGCGAAATATAATAATAAAAAAAAATTCAATTAATGATAAAAAATATTATCTAGACTAGAATTGTTATCAGGAATTTTATCAAGGTTATCACAATAATTTTAAACGTGACTTAGGTCATAATTGGTAAAAAACACTTTGTCTTAATCGTTTTGTTTGTCAAGAAAAAAATAATCGGATTTTAAAAATTGTTGCTGCTTAATTGCACTGCGTACGCCGGTCACACTTACGGCGTGTGTAATGTATATTACACATACATATCCGTGTAGATGTATGAGTATTGTCATGCCGTGAACACGTGGGAAAGGGATAGGAAGAAGAATAGAAGCTCGAACAAAGTTTATAGGGCTTTGGAATATGAATTTGTGTACGTATAGTATATAAATTTATATTTTATATTTTATATTTATTTTTATGTCGACGAGGACGAGTATTATGAGGTATATTGGTATCTATCGCATGTTTTTACGCTCGCCGACATCCTGTCCACTATATCGTACGATCCATCTGACTGCACGCATTTATTATTTTAACATATTTTTATTATACTCGTCAACTCTTTACGGTTCTTTATTTTTTTGTCATTTAATTTTTATTGTTAGACAAATTTATAGGTTTTTTTTAGTATTTGATAAGCTTTGTTAATTTTTTTTAATTTTATTTCCTTTATATAACTATTAAAAAAAATTTAGTTCCAAAAAAATCCAACAGGTGGCGCATGGTCGCTAAATTTTCTCGCTAATGGAAAGTTAATTCTAAGATATTTAGTTCTAAATTAAAAAAATTGTCTTGACTCAAGTAAACCTTTCTTCTGTGTATATAACTTAAAAAAAAAAAATTAGTTCCGAAAAAATCCAACAGGTGGTGCATGGTCGCTAAATCTTCTCGCTAGTGGAAAGTTAATTCTAAGATATTTAGTTCTAAATTAAAAATAATTTTTTTAACGCTCTTTAGAAAGTATTCTGTCATTAATTACTCACTTTAAAAGTTAAATAGAGGAAGAAAAATATTTCCTTGGCTCAAGTGAACTGTTTTTTTTTTCTATATAAATTAAAAAAAATTTTTTTTTTTTTAAATTCTAGTTGCATAATAATAATTTAGCAGTATATATACCAACATAAAAAAATATTTCATCACAATTTTTTTATACCAGCTTCCTTAAGTTCCTTCCTGCGTTCTCTTCC